TCCTCCTCCTCCTCCTCCCCCTCCCTCCCGAAGCTCCTGAAAGCGACCACGCATCAAGGAAAGCGGGGGGCATGGGCTTCCTCCCGGCCTCACGGGCGGTGTCATGACGCCGCCGCTCGACACACGAGGGGATCGGGTGAATGGGTCCCCCTCACGTTTTCAAGAGCGGCGTCATGTCGCCAGGTGCCTCTAGATGGAGGAGCAGTCGCCTGCTCAGGCAGGTCAGGCACATGTCCTCCTCATCTCACGCCATTCCTCCCGATCCTCATCCTGAAAACATGGTTCCTTATTCGGGACTCGGGTTAGGGGACTCGGGTCGGCCCGACTGGGCCATCATGAAAATGACGCGACCGTCTGAAATTTGACGCGGACCCGCTGCAGACATCCCACGAACACTGGACGGTCAAACTTCAGGACGGGCTCGTCAAAAAGCGTAGGCGAACCCGAAATCTGGCGTCCTCGAGTCTTACGTTTCCCTGACATATCCATGCAAACCTTGACCTCATGCCAGACCTGGCGTCAGATCCCGCACCCGGGCGCCGTCCCTGCGAATGAAACACCATGCGGGTCACGCGCGCCATCCCTTGGACGCACTCACGCGCGCATGCGCGGCCCCGGATCCAGCCCCCCGCCACCAGCTGTGTGCCAGAGCCGGCCCCTGGCACCATCTACGCCTCTGCTTAGAGTTAAGATGCTCTTAGACTCAGACAGCGGACCTCACGTCAAGCACTTTCTCGGGCAGTGGTCCAGGCCCAGATGCACAAGACCCTGCGAAGCAACAAAAAAGCTCCAAGAGAACGCCCAGGGCCCAGCACGGATTCTTGAGCTTCTTGAGCGAAGTCTGGAGTACATGGGAATTGCTACGGTTTCTCAAGATTTCTGACGGGTGCGTGTGCAAGGACACTGCGCGGGCCACACGCGCGGGCCAAACCGATGCCTCTGCCGAGAGGCGCTTGCGCTCGTGCGCTTGCACGGACTCCTGTGTGGACTGGTTCTGGGACTTCACGCGTGCATTCGCGTGATGTCGCATTCGCGCCCAGGGAGGATACACACACAACAACAGCAACACATGAAGAACTGCTAGCCGTCGTGAACCCCCAAACAGTGGGTTCTAGCGCTGTGGAGGGGGAAGCGGTGCGGCGCAAGCTGTGTGGTGCACCTTACTGTGTGGTGCACCTTACTCGGTGTAAGCCATGCGATGTGGGCTGTGCCGTGTCGGCCGTGTCGTGTGAACCGTGCTGGTGTCAACTGTGTGGTGTACGCCACGCCTGTTCTGTGCGGTGTGGGCGATGCGGTGCGAGCTGTGTTGTGCAGGCTATGCGGCGTGAGCTGTGTGATGCAAACCGTGCAGCACACCCAGGTGACCACGGGGCGCCCTCGAGGTGGCCACGGGGGGGCGGGAGCGTGGCGACGCCCGGGCGGACCGGCAGACCCGCCCCACGGCACGGGGCGTCCAAAGAGCGCCCACGGGCGGGCACGTGGCGAGGCCTCGGCGGACCTGCCCGCGGCACGGGGCGCCCACGAGCGCCCACCCGGCGGCTTGCGGAGAGGAGCGAAGACGCCGAAGTGTGAACACCGGGTGGGGGGCATGACAGCGTCGCAGGCCGTGCCGGCCCTGCCCTTGCCCGCACCCGGCAAGCGAGGGCGAGCCCCCCGGGGAAGCGGGCCTGCGGGCAGGAGCGTGCTGCCGACGGCAGGCTGCCGGGATGCCGCGCCCATGCAGGGCTGGCCGTGGAACCTCGCGGGGGAGGCACAAGCAGGCGCAGCACTGCACGGGCAGACGCGCGGCAGGATCGCGCCGCGACGATCTGCGCGCTGGCTTCCGACGCCGCCTGGATCGCTCCACCCTGGAACGATCGCGGCTTCCCGATCGTGCAGATCGCTCGAGGGTGGCCGATGCTGGGTCTCTGGCAGCGTTCAGCCTCGAGCGCCCGCGCTGGGGTCACTGCCGCGTCGACGATGAGCGAAGCTGCCGTACCCTTCCGCTGCACCACTGCTGCACCAGGCATCCTGAGCCCTGGAGCCTGGAGACGCGGGCGGCTGGCAGACTCTGCAGGGGCGGCGACCAGGAAGTGCTCCTTTCAGTCGCATGGGCTCCAGGTGTCTCTGACGGCCTTCCTCTGAATCTCTTCAGGGCGCCTCAGGCCCAGGCTCCCCCGGCCCCCATGCTGGGGTCGTGAAGGGGGCAATGGGGTTATCCGTGGATGCCAACGCCAGGCGGCGTACGTCTGGCCAAACCGTTTGGGCCAAACCTGGCTTACAAGTGGGCCAAACCTGCCCCAAATGGCCCAGGGGGGCAGATCACTCCGCTAAGTGGGCGGAGCCCACTTTGCTCGGGTCGGTACGCTCCCTGAGCCACCTGTGGCATTCGTAACCCACTTATGAACTAGGTTCGACCAGAATCAACAACCGACGGTGGCATCCACTAATGACCCCCCTATCCTCTTAGCGTTGAGGTGTAGCGATGCGGGGGACTGGCTTTAAGGGGAGGCAACGTCGACCTGGAATCTCGGCGATACATCGCCGATCGGCGATATGCCCCCGCTAGCGAACCCGTACGTCCCTGGGCGGGGTGGGGCTGTCAGACCCCTATCGGCGATGAGTGGGCGATTGGGGGGCGATGCGTTCCCTCCTGAGCCTCTCCCCGCTATCGTTACCCCTGCAGCAGCCCCCGCTTCGCGGCGGCCGGGGGGTCTGAGCTGGTTGGGGCCCCAGAGAATCCGTCAGACAAAGAAGCCAAATCCGCTCGAAATCGGTCTCCAGACCCCTCCCCGGGTCCGTCTGGTGCAGCTGCTCTTCACCCCAGGGCCCGCACAGGGCCCCCGGAGGCCGAAAGAGCTTCCCCGAACTCGACCCAGGAGCTCCGGCCTGCCCGCCCTTCCTGCCGGCCCGAGCTGGTGCTCGATAGGCCACCTCCGACCCCCAGGCGGCTCCAACCCGAGGCCCTCTCCACGCCCTCGCGCCGGCCGCTCTCCGGCCGGGGCCGCGAGAAGCTGAAGGGGCCCTGGGACACACAAAAACAAATACACACAATTACAAGAATTCCCCATAATTTGTTCTGGGGTTTTGCCTCCCCTCCACTTCCCACATTGTCCCATATTTTTGGGGGATCGACGATTCATTGTGTCTGTGTGTGTGTGTGTTTTTTCCCCTCCCGAGAAGCGCGGGCCGCGGCCGGCTCGACCTGCGCCGCCCGCGGGAGCGGGAGCGGCGCCGGGCGGCGGGGGGGGCGGGCGGGCGGGGGGAGAGAGGCGGGGGAGAGAGCCGGGTGCGCTCGCGCCACGCCAGGGCAGCCTGTCCCTCCCCCTTGGGAGTGCGGGATCGTCTGCAGAAGTGATGTACCCCAGACTTGAGTTTCTCGTCGAGTCGCACGTCCAGTCGAGGCGTTGACCCAAGGAGCCCTGAATAAGGAGCGAGGCCCCTCTTTCCATAAGTTGAGCTTCGACTTCCCATCGAAAATGTAAGGAAAACCTTAGGCAGGGTGTGGCACGATTAAGGAACACCGAGCCCCTCCCCAACGAAAAGGATTCCTTTTTCGCGCCCCGACTGTAGGATGTTTGTAGATCTACGAACGTTCTACGCATTTCCCATGGATTCGACGAGAAAATCAATTCGGGGGTAAATCACTTCTGTAGTCGATCCCCTACTCGGCCCCTCCCATCCCTTCCCGTGGCGCTCGTCCTTGCTCCATCCGCGAGCGCGTGTCGCAGCCGCGCTGGACCTCCATTGCCCCAGCAGGGCGTCCTATACTGGGCAGCAGAAGTGTGGCCCGTGGGGCCTGTGGGGGCACGGGGGGAACTGCGGGGCGGGGGGGCCGAGGCTGCGAGGGAGACCAAGGGCCGCTCATGCGAGGCGGGGATCGTGCCACAGCCAGCGCCGGTGGAACCCACGTCAGGGACCCCAGCGGGCGGTGGAGATGGACATACTCGGGCCCCAGGGGGCCCGAACGCACTCATGCCAATAGCAACCGCCTGTCGCAGTCTCCGAAAATCGATCCCTTGAGATCCGACGGCGCGACAGGAAATGTGGAGGCATGGCTGACCAATCACGCCCAGCGCCCTGGACCCCATCCTTCTGCGCCCCCTTTCCCGCGCCGCCAGGCCGATCTCTGTGAGAGACGGCGCCCCTCGGCCCGAGACCCGACGAGAAAAAACGCCCGGCCCTCGAAGCACTTGCGACGCCAGCATCTCCCCCGAGACCCCCGACGTCATGACTTTTTCACCGCGTCGACCCTCAGAGGCCTCGACCCACTCCCCTGGACCAGCTCCTCATATCCCTGGCCGCTTTTTCTGACGCCCCCGAGGCCCCACTGAGGGCCCCCCCCCCCCCAGGGGCCGAGGCTGCGGAGAAGCCTCGCCGCCCGAGGGGGCAGCATTGGGCCTTGCGACGCCAGGATCTCTCGAGAGGCCTCCCGCGCCCTCCCCCCCCCCCCGGGGCGCCTGGCTCTGCACCACTCGGCCGGCTCCGCCCCGGCCCGCCCGGGCGGGCCCCGCTGGCCCCGGCCGCCGGCGGCAGGCCCGCTGCTCCGCCGCCGCGCGGGCGCCCGGAGGCCCGCCTCCTCGCGCGGGCTGCCGGCCGTCGGAGCCCCCCGCGGGCGGGGGGGCGAGGGCGGAGGGCGAGGGCCGACGAGGACGAGCTCCGAGCTCCGAGCTCCGAGGGCGAGGGCGAGGCTCGACGAGGCAGGGCGGCAGGGCTCCGCGGGGGCGGCAGCGGGGACGACGCCGCCGCCCCAGCCCCCGCGGGCGCTTCTTCGCCCCCGCGCCCTCGTGTGGTACGCCGCCCCCCCCCCTCGGGTCACACCGCACATCACGCCGGGAGGTTCTTCCGCCTCCGCCTCCGCCTCCGCCTCCGCCGCTCCCTCCTCCTCCTCCTCCTGCTCCTCCTCCTCCGTACCTTCGGCCTCTGGAGGCCCTTACGGGCCCCTGGGGCCGTTAAACAACGGCTCAGGATGAGCCGAGGCCTTCGGAGCCGCCGATGGCAGTCCAGAGCCGCCTCCGAGACAACCCACTGGGAGTCCAGACGGCCCTCCAAGAGGGCCCCAGGAGCACTCCCAAGAGGGCCCCAAGAGGCAAACATCGCACCCTCCCGTTCGGTAGACGTACCTGTCCAGCATCTTCGCCTCGTGGGCTCTTACATCTTCATAGACCGCCCAAGAGGCCCCCAAGATCGCCGCGACAACTTCGCGACGGACGGTTTTGGGCAGTCTTCAGCCTCCCCGTGCGGCCCTGGGACCGTCAGAACACGACTCGGGATGCAGCGCCAGGCCCGGGGAACAAGTGCAGACCTCCTGGGGCCCACGTTGAGAGCCAAGCACGACGACGTCGGAGGTCCAGCCTCGTTGTCAGCACGGGGGCCTCTCCGAGACGTGGTCGCGGCACCCTCAGCCGCCCCCGGCACTCTCCGAGAGGTGGAGGCCCAGACCCCCGACGTCCTGATCTTTTTCAAAACGTCGACCCCGAGAGGTCTTGACCCTTTCTCCGGGACTGGCTTTTCATCCCGAGCTGTTTTCTGACAGTCCCGAGGCCCGGCAAAGGCCCCCAGCGGCCGAAAATGTGAAACACCTCCCGTCGTGCTTTTTTCATTGCCCGAGGGGGTCTGGGGGCGAGTCTTCTGCTTCCGCAGCCGTGGCCGCTGCACAGGGGGGACCGGGCCGAAACAACACGGCGGCTCTCCCCAGCAGTCGTCGGGCTTCCGTGGGCCTCCTGTGGAGGCTGCTCGTCGCCACGGCTGGACATGCCTCGAAGAACGGCTGGGGTGACCCTCGGGAGGGGTCTGGGCACAGATTCTGAGCGGATCCTCCTCCTCCTCCTCCTCCTCCTCCTCCTCCTCGTCCTCCTCCCCCCCCATCCCCCCCCTCCTCCTCGTCGTCCTCCTCCTCCTCCTCCTCCTCCTCCTCGTCCTCCTCGTCCTCCTCGTCCTCCTCGTCCTCCTCGTCCTCCTTGTCCTCCTCGTCCTCCTCGTCCTCCTCGTCCTCCTCGTCCTCCTCCTCCTCCTGCTCCTGCTCTCCTGCTCCTCCTCCTCTCCTCCTCCTCCTGCTGCTCCTCCTCCTCCTCGTCTCCTCCACCTCCTCCTCCCACTCCTCCTCCTCTCCTCCTCTTCCTCCTCCTCCTCCTCCTCCTCCTCCTCCTGCTGCTCCTCCCTTCCTCCTCCTCCTCTTCTCGTCCTCCTCGTCCTCCTCCTCCTCATCCTCCTCCATCCTCCAACCTCCATCCTCCTCCTCCTCCTCCTCCTCCTCCTCCTCCTCCTCCTCCTCTCTCCTCCTGGTCCTCCTGGCCTCCTGGTCCTCCTGGTCCTCCGGTCCTCCTGGTCCTCCTGGTCCTCCTGGTCCTCCTGGTCCTCCTGGTCCTCCTGGTCCTCCTCGTCCTCCTCTCCTCCTCGTCCTCCTCCTCCTCCTCTCCTCCTGCTCCTCCTGCTCCTGCTCCTCCATCTCCTCCTCCTCCTCCTCCTCCTCCTCCTCCCTCCTCCTCCTCGTCCTCCTCGTCTCCTCGTCCTCGTCCTCCTCGTCCTCCTCCTCGTCCTCCTCGTCCTCGTCCTCCTCGTCCTCCTCGTCCTCCTCCTCCTCGTCTCCTCGTCCCTCCTCGTCCTCCTCGTCCTCCTCCTGCTCCTGTTCCTGCTCCTCCTCCTCCTCCTTCTCCTCCTCCTCCTTCTCCTCCTCCATCCTCCTCCTCCTCCTCCTCCTCCTCCTCCTCTTCCTCCTCTCCTCCTCCTCCTCCTCCTCCTCCTCCTCCTCCTCCCCCTCCTCCTCCCCAGACCCGAGGGGGGTCTGGCGAGGAAGCCTTCTTGGAGCGCTCGCCTCGCCCTGCCCCCCCTCCCCCCCTGCGTCGCGCCGCCGAGACGGGAGAGGAAGGACACGGAAGGGGAGCACCGGGAGGCCCCCCGAGCCCGCCCCGTGGATTGCCCGCCTGCCCGCCCGCGGGGACACGTCCGGGCCCGCTGCCTCGGGATCGCGCCCCGCCGTCGTGCCCACAGGGAGCCCGAGGGGGACGGCGGACGGCTCGGCTCTCGGAGCGGGCTGCCGAGTGGGGCTTGGAAGGAAGGAGGGGGATATTAGCAATTACAATAATAACAATACTACCAAACCAGTTTAATAAGAATAATAATACTAATAATAATAATAATAATAATAATAGTAATACTAATAATAGTAATAATAATACTAACCATAATAATAATAATGATAATGCTCATACTAATGCTAATAATACTACTACTGATAATAATAATAATAGTACTAGACATATTGATGACAATAATGATAGTCATATCACTACTAAACACAATAATGACAGTGATAAGAATAATTACGATTCATTATAGTAGCAGTAGTGATCATAATGATAAAACTAATAGAAGGAAGAAGGGGGAACATACGGTGAGTACATTGGATAAGGAATCCTTTAAGGAGGCCAGGGTCTGAAAGCAGGGGGAACTCCGATCGTGCATCGGCCACGGAGATAACACCGCCGCCCTCATCAGAGAAGGAGCCCCCCAGGGTCGGAAGCCTCCTGGTCCCATTCCTTCACGGATGCCCCCACTGCAAGAGGAAGTCTCAGCTCCGAGAGGCACCCTGCGACGCGGCGCAACGTCCAGATACGGCGGCCGGGGGCAATCGACTCATTGGGGAGGCTTGGCCGAGGCAGATCAGCCCGAAGGGGGACGCGGAGGCACGGGCTTGCAGCGACAACGTCCACCCATCGAAGCCCGTGGAGCTGTGGCCTCATCTCAGCCACCGCTCCCCGGGGACCCCCAGGGCACGACCCGAGAAGCAGTGGACATTGACTGGACCTCCGACATCGTGATCACGATGCGGACCCCTATATGATGTTGACCACTCCCCCGTGACACGTTTCTTCATCCTGAGTCAATTTTGATGGCCCCACGGCCTTGTAGTTAAGGACATCCCAGGGCTGAAAAAGGCCAACTGCCCTCCGTCGTGATGTTCTCGCGGCGCGAGGAGTTCGGAGGATGCCTCTGGGCGGTGCACTTCCAGCCCCTGGTACGCCCGACATGGGTACGGAAAAACGGGTACGATGTCCAACAACAAACAGTGTCCAATACCGGCAGCGACCGCTGCCGGGCAAGCGACTTTGGTCTGAAGTGGAAAACGTCCGCGGCTACAGAAGGGGCGTTGACCTGAGGAACCCTAAATAAGGAACGGGGCCCCTTTCTCCCATAAGTTGAACTTCGATTTCCCATGGAAGACCTCAGGAAAACAGAAGGCAAACTGTAGAACAATCAAGGAACACCGAGCCCCTCCCCAACGAAAAGGATTCCTTCTTCAGGGCCCCGACTGTACACCCGCAGCGAGTGCTACTCAAAATGAACCAGATCTGCGGTTGGTCTTCGTCCCCAGTCGTTCCACGCAGTCGGACCTGGGATAGAAGAACATCCTTCAATAACGTGAGACCCTCCGCCGGCCCCAACTGAAGAACACTCGAGGGTTGTCTGATATAGCTGGACCTGGGATAGAAGAACATCCTTCGAGAACGTGAGACCCTCCGCCGGCCCCAACTGAAGAACATTCGAGGGTTGTCTTATATAGCTGGACCTGGGATAAAAGAACATCCTTCGAGAACGTGGGACCCTCCGCCGGCCCCAACCTGAAGAACACTCGAGGGTGCCCTCCCCCAGGGTGCACAGGAGCATCCACCGAGCACGAAGCACACCTCTCGCCTTCGCTCGGACGTCCATTTCCCGTGCATGCTTCGGCTTCGTGCGTGTTTTTGTTTGCTCGATGGTCCAGGATGGTCCTCGATGGTTCTCGCCGAGGAAAAGTGCACACGACCGAGCGATGCCAGGACCTGGGGCTACCCTCCCCGAACCGACCTCGCGACCTCGTGCCTCGGCCCGACTGCAGCCATAATTATTGCGATCGTGCCGGTTCCGGCCCGTGCGGTGGCAACTCGTGGGAGCCTCCCGTACCATCTTGTCGGCTCTTGCGAAACGACGCTGGTCGACGACGCTAATCGATGCTAAGTCGACGCTAAATCGACGCTACATGGGCGCTATCTCATCGCCTCCCAAGCCCTGATCGACGCCAGTCGACGCGGAAGACAGACTCGCGAGGGTACCCGAGGCTCCCATGACTCGCTGCCGAAAGCCCGCCTCCGGCGCGCAGGGGTCGAGGCCGCCGGCGAGGATGGAGGGCTGCTTCCCGCACGCCCGCTCGCAGCCCTCCGCGGCGCCGCAGGGGCCCGCCCGTGCCGCTCGGGCCATGCGCGGGTGCGCGCGCGCGCGGCGGCCGCGCGGCTGCCGCGCAGCTCCCCGGAGACCCCTGGGGCCGGGGCGGCGGCGGGGGCCTTGCGGGCAGGGAGGAGCAGGGAGGAGGAGGAGGAGGAGGAGGAGGGGGAGGAGGAGGAGGAGGAGGAGGAGGATGGAGGAGGATGGAGGAGGAGGATGGAGGATGAGGATGAGGAGGAGGAGGAGGAGGAGGAGGACCAGGAGGAGGAGGAGGAGGAAGAGGAGGAGGAGGAGGAGGAGCAGGAGGCAGAAGGTACACTCAGACTCAGGAGAAGGATAATGAGGTCATATTCGAACTCTTACACAGACCGCCTACAC